GCTGAAGCCAGGGCACACAGGTGTCGTGCTGGGGAAAGACACTTGCGTGTCGCCCTTCCTGGGACCCACGCGAGGTGTCTGAGGGAAGCAGGGCTGTGCACAGAGAGGAGCTCCTGACGCTCCTCCCTCCTACATACCGTGGCCGCCTTTGAGCCACACCAAGTAAATGTAAGGAGTCACATTCAGAGAGTCACTTGTGAAGTTGTCAGATGTAGTTTATAGATGTAAGCGGGGAAAAAAGATGCCAGATGGAAGGTCACAGTCAGCAGTAACAAACTGGCAAAGCTGGTACTGGCCTGGGGACATGAAGCAGCCCTTCCTTTGTGTGGTTCATCGCTGAACCCCAAGTACCACCGGGAAAGTGGTGCGGCACGCGTGCCTGTTCATGTCAGGCATGATGCTGTGCCCCTCGGCCAGGAGCCGGCCCCACGAGCACGGCTCTGACGAACTGATGCGTTCCAGTTTTGACAGACGAACAAAAATCCCGAATCCAGGCTATGAAACCAATGACAAAGGAAGAATGGGACGCGAGGCAGAGTGTCATAAGGAGAGTTGTGGATCCCGAAACGGGGAGAACCAGGTATGATCCCTGGGGAAAAGGGAGGCAGGTTGTCCATCCCCATCCACGTTGTGTGGGTTGGAGTCCTGAAGGATGCTGATCCATGGCACTGCAGTACCGCATGTGGACCCGGGTCCCCTTCAGCAGCAAAGGCCTGAGCCAACCCCTCAGACCTGGTGTGACTTACCCAGAAAGTGATGCGTCTGACACCAAATTATCAAATTGTCCTGGGGCTCCATGCAAGGGGCACCGGGCTGAGTCCCACCCAGAGCTGTGGGGCGCAGACAGCAGAGCAGCTTGCTGCTGGAGGTAGGTTTGTTCCTTGCACTGTGAAGGGCTCGGCTTCTTCCCATTAAATGGGACACTGCAAGCAGGGGCAGAGTGGGAACCAGAGGGGCAACTGACACTTCCTTACCCCATTGCTGCACACACGCACTCAGCCCTGGTTAGCACCTGGGTGTAAGTGAGGAGGGAGTGTGTGTGCCCCTTGGGGTTACAGACAACAATCACGCCAAAGTTCGTTTAGCTGCCAAATAGAAATGACCCAGTTTTTAATAAACTGCATCTTCTCAACAAGCGGAAAACATTGTGCTGAAGAGAATTGGGTATGACAAGTCCAGTCTTAAAATAGAAGGCAGCCTGCAGGGCTCAGGGAGGTGTGGAACCAAGGTCGGTTCCCCATAAGGCATGTAATGAAGACAATTAAATTTCTGTTCATGTTTGGAGGTGTGAGCCACCTCTGATGCTGCTTGGAATTTGCTCAGCAAGATGCTCCCTCTTCTGGCTGCCTTTCAGGCCCAAACTGGCTCCTCTTTCTGAATGGCTCTGCAGTTTCCTGGGGCAGCCAGGACCAGACCTGAATGCTATCTGAAAATAGGAAGGGGTTTTGCAGGGGTTGGGGCCGCTGCTGTTGACAGTGAAAGCTCTGCAGATGGTGGGGTGGCAGGAGATGCTTTTGCTGCGAGTGTTTTTGTCTGCTGTGTGCAAGTGTGATGGGCTCCGCACGCAGCAGTGCCTGCAGCCCGGGGCAGGGACAGCTGGCCCATGCCGGTGGATCCTGATTTCTCAGGGGACTGCACCCGGCCTTGCTGCAGCATGGTGGCATTAATCCCACAAGAGCAATGGAAAAGCCTGCTGTACTATTTAAGCTTGATATGGCCAAAAAAAAAAAAAAAAAAAAAAAAAAAAAAAAAAAACACCAATTTCAGGGTTATGTTGTCACTGGCCTTGCCCAGAGGTGCATCAGCCCAGCACCTGGTCCTGGGCACGAACTGCTGTGAGGGAGCTGGTGACTTTGTGCCTGAGCTGGGGCACAACAGCAGCCCCTGGGGGTGGGGAGGAGGTCAGTGCCTTCTGGGGGTGGGAAACGGTGTGGCTGGCAGGAATTTGCCAGTAGCCCTCACGGCTGGTGGGCCTGTGCTTGTCTTCCAGGCTTATCAAGGGAGACGGAGAAGTATTAGAAGAAATCGTCAGCAAGGAGAGACACAAGGAGATTAACAAGGTAGTGGGGACTTGCCACCAGCATGAGCTGCTGGTGGGTGGGTGGGTGGATGTAGCAGCTCCCTGGCTGCACCCAGAGGCCTTGTCTTGCCTCCCTGGGGACCCCACCAGGGCAAACTGAGCCCTGGCAGCTCCACATGGGTGGGTGCTGGTGGTCCTTCATCCTTGGGCAGGTGGTGCTGTGAGCACCTGTGTCTCTCCCTTTGCAGCAAGCCACCCGGGGGGATGGGCTGGCCTTCCAGGTGAGGACAGGGATGCTGCAGTGAGACCCAAGCCAGGAGCCTGTCCTGCTGCTGGTGCCAGCCCAGGCGTGAGCCTCTGTCTCCAGACCACGGAGGCAGCACCGCATCAGGATGCCTCCAAAGGGGCGGTTTCCAGCCACTCTGTAAGTTACTGACTGGGAAGGAGAACAACTTTAATGGTTCAATCTCCCAAAAAACCTTCCTCTCTTGATGGGGGCCAGTGTGGCTGTAACGCATTTGGACCTGCTTGCCGCAATGCCCCTTTCAAGGCTGGAGGAGCTCAGCAGCACCCAGGGGACAGGCTCGCTGGCGCTGAGCACCCAGACGTGCTGCTGCCCCTCAGCTCTGGGCTTTGATGGGCAGGAGCTAATGCTGCGGCCAGGACAGCGTATGCGCTAGGGCTGCAAAATACACAGCTGGCTGCCATTTCTTCCCTTCAGGGGCTGCTCTTGGCCCCTTCCTTGCTGGACCTGCGTGCCCCGTGCTTACCTGGTGCTGCAGGGTCATGGGCCCTTTGCAGTCACCCGCCCCCACAGGTGACAGAGAGGGGCGGCTGTGCAGCTCTGCTCAGGCTACAACTCTCCTCTGCGCCCTCAAGTGCCACTTTGCGCCTCACCCTGGGGACTTTACTCAGCCTTTGTGCAGCTTCATCTCATCGGGTGGCGCAGGGGGGCACAGGCCTGGCGCACCGGGCAGGTGTGCTTTGCAGAGGGGTGGCTTTGCCTTGGTGTCTGTTCCTGCATGCAACTCGTGTCCCTTCCCCACAGCACAGGCCCCGGGCAGCATTAGGGTTCTGGGCTTCTCGGGACCCATGCCCGTGACTGCGGTGAAGCAAACAGCTGGCCTTTCCCCCACTGCAAAAGAAATCTACAAACTGTTTAAAAGAAAAAAAAAAAAAAAGACCACCAAAAAAAAAGACAAATGGGTTAAAGGACAAATGGGTCCTGCAGGACTGATCTGCATGGAGGGTTTCCATGTTCTGTTCATCGCTGTAACCCCATTAAACTGGCGCCTGCTCACGTCTTGGGTTTTGTGACTTGTCTGTTTCTAGAGTCCCCCAAAAAAAAAAAAAAAAAAAAAAAAAAAAAAGAAGAGCCTTCCCATTTCTTTAATCTGTGTAACTCACAATGATACTGTACACAAAGCACACCCAGGCATTGGAACGATGCACTAACAGCAAGGAGGAGAAGGAAGTCGTACAGAAGGTTTGTCACACACAAGCGAGTCGTCGGCACGGTACTGTGCACACAGGGGCGTACCCAGCGCGGCTGCTGGCGCCCTCGGGCATGCCCTCCAGTGGTTCCCCACACACACACGTCTGTTACCCCTAAAGCAATTTTTTATAAATAAAATATAACTAACATTGTTGGAATATAAAATTGACAGTCGAGGGTATCAACAGGCAGAGGGTGCTGAGGACCGGGAGGGGACCGTAAGGCTTCTAGAACTAATAGGAAATGCAGCAAACGGTGGCGATACCTGAAGAAGGGGCTGCTACAGCAAGCACAGCAGCTGCTGGGCGGAGCGGGAGTTTGTTAGTAACCCTTTGGCTAGTTACTGCTCTCGGCTCGCGGATCGGACACTGTAAACGTTTTTGGTATTAGAAATTTCGCCTCATCTGACTGATCTAGCAAACCCAGGAAACAAGTCGGAGGGAATGCATGGGCTCCTCTTTTTATTTTTAAAAGACTTTAAAGGGACAGCGTCAGGTAGAAAGTATAGCCCAATAGTGCAGTAATACAAAAAGCTGCTTTTTATAAAAAAATCTGAGCTCCACAGCAGAGTTTAATTCCCATGGAAACAAGTAAAAAAAAAAAAAAAAATATGGAGGCAGCCTGCGCAGCGCGGGCTGTATTGTGCTAGTGCGTGAGAACAGGACGTGGGCTGCAGCAGAAGCAGCACGACTGTCGCCGGTCGCACCGATGGCTGCCCAGACAACGGCACTGGGGAGGAGTACAAGAAACTTGTCTTTCATTTTGAAGCAAACAAGTTATTTGTAACAGAGAGAAATTAGGTCTTTAACCTGACAGTGCCCCTTTAGTAAGGATGGAACATACATTCATCTTTCCCTCACTGCGTCCAAACGGATCCTCTTCCATACACGTGGAAAGGCATCGGGTCACATGCATTGCTCTCCAAAACAGCTCGGAACAAACAGGTTATAAACACAGAGTTAAACTATTGCTATTGTTCTTTGAGTGAGTAGCACGTTGATCTTCGCTTCAGATAGATGAGTGCCAGATGGGGGCGGCTGAGGATAGGTTGATGTAGACTATGACGGACTGAATCGGTGGAGAAAAACTTAGTGGCATATTTCCTGGTAACTACACCCACCTCATCTGGTATTATTGCAGCAATAAAGGTCCTGCTCTACAATTGCTTCTCCATGTTGGATCCGTACAGTGGCAACAGATGGGGGGCCAGGGAAAGGACCCGGGCAAGTTTCAAGAAGCTCAACAAAGGATGAGGACGGAGGTGCTGTGATTGTCAGTCTAACCGGTTAGTAGCTGTTTAAAACATGAAGTGATGGAGAGGTGAGTATAATATTGCACTTCTGCATTCATTGACAGTTACATTAAACTTGGTCCGTAAAATAATTGCTTTGTACATAATGCCTGAAACAAAAAGCTACATTTTTAAATATTAATAAACCCTGAAGGTTCCAGTCCCTCCAGACATTTTTTTTCCTCTACATAAATAAATAACTTTCAATTTTATATATCCACTTTTTATGTTGAACATTTACATTCGCCTCTGTTTTACACTATCTACACATAAGAAAATGTGAACATCTCATCAGCATTGGAAAATGTACAGATCATGCCTTGGTTGTGGACTTGGAGGAAAGTTGAATTTTGCAAAGGCCATATCCAAATTTGCAGAAATTATTTTGTGATGTGGTTTGGTGACTTCACAGGATGGATTGTGGCTTGGCTTCCTACTCAGATGGCATCTGTTTCATATAACATTCGACTAGCGAAAAGCTGGGACAATTCACATTGATTTTCAACCCAGTAAGCTCTGGATGTACATTCAGAGAGAGCTAAGCTGAGTCGGCAGAAAGGGAAGTCAGTTTTCGGTAACAAAAGTCATCGGATACATTCTGTAATTGAGTAATTATCAAAGAGAAGTGGTTAAACATTTTGCAGGCAGGCTGCAAGACGTGGGAGATGCACTGGGCAGCGGGGGGGCAGTTGGGTTTGAGCGCTCCACCGGCTCAGACGCCGTCAGCAGCTCGGCACTGTCCCTCCTCTGCCTCCGCTTTGACCCTCCAGCGCCATGAACACGTGAGACCTGCCTTGGATGTCTGATGAGTTCGATTTGCCTACCGTGGCCCAGAGCCAATTAGCAGAGCAGCATTCACAGTGCTGTGTGTCTCAGTGCGGCCGTCCTGCACTTCATATTGAAACAGTTAATAAAATGAAGCAGCCAGTCTAAAAAATTCTTTGTTATAAATAAGATCCTCATAAGTAGAAAGTGTTATAAAGACAGGAAAGTGTGGTGGGGGAAAGCAGGGTCACACATAGTCGGGGAGCTCAGTAGGACTATAAAATCTCCACGTGAAGAGGCCAACTGGAGTCTGTAAATGGGCACCCTAGATCCCCTGGAGCAGATGCTCCCCCGGGAGGTGTGTGCAAGGAGGGAACCAGGCCCTTCCCTGGGGCCAGGCTGACCCGGGAGGAGCAGGACTGAGGGGCTTGTGGCAAGCCCTCGCTCTAGGCACTGTTCTCCACTGCCACCACCGCAGAGCGATGCGCTCCCGTTCCTGTACCGTGCACCACGCACGTCTCTGTGTCACCGGGGGTGCCAGCCAGCCGCGAGCGCTTCGCCCTGCACACTGGCAGCTCCCCTCTGCCATGCAGCCGGCCCCGGCTCGCTCCAGCAGCACACAAACCACCAGCTCAGGTACATCCACTGAGAAACACACCAGGAAAATTAAGATATGGCCTTTTCTTAAGGTTGCCTGACATTGTTGGCACGCTTCCTTACAGTCTCCTTACTGCTGGAAAAAACTTCTGCACAATTTTTTTTTAAATATATACATTATATATATACGTGTGTGTGCATATGTATATGTATATATACACACACACCCTGGCTTAGCAATATTTCGTTGTCATGCACTACAAACAGTTAGGTGTAGCTACATGAGATGGTAACAGGTTTCCATTCTAAAAATCATCAGTGCAAAAAACAATGAGGTTTTACAGTTCAGTAACTACAGGTAAAAGCAGCGAGTCTAGTTCCCATGAAAGCTGCTACTGAACTTGGAGAGAACCTGGGAAGAAGAAAACATCTCAGAGGTGGGTGTTGAGAGAGTCAGACCCTGCATTTGGATGAGAACTGCAATGCAATCTATCTGCTGAGTGCCTTCAGCTGCTTCCAAATATACGGTGGTTACTTTTGGAGATAATATATAGTGAGAATATTTGGAGACTTGAACAGCAAATAAGTGTCTGAGGTTTGTAACAGCTCAAACAAAATAGCTTGTATTCCTCTTTTAATAGGTCAACGCATTAAATTCCATCGGCTTCTAAAAGGTCTCTTTAAAAAATAACAGTAATAACAATAACGACCCCGCTTTCTTGAGCGTGAATCTGCTGACATTCTGCCTCTACCAACAGCATCGATACATCTTTATGCTTTGCCACTGCACGTACTCCTTGAGAAAGGGGCTGAACTTGAAGCTCTTTGTACAGGTAAAGCTCTCGGTTGCTCTGCCTGGCACTGCCCACAATAAATCCCTCGCTCGGGGCTGTCTGTGCCGGGGAAACAGCACGCTTATCGAACCCCAAACTCACCCCGCGCCAGCACTGGCAGAGCACCTCAGTCTGACTCCTGGGACAACCAAGAACAAGTTCCCCCAGCCTCATCCCCTGTTCCTGTGGCTCTGAGGACAGCACTCGTTCACGCGTATCGGAGCGATGGCTAACAAGGCGAGGAGGCACGTATTTACAGTCTCTAAACCTGGATAAGAGAAGGAGGCAGGAGAGAGCGCGATTTTGACCTGGAGACTTTTTCCCCCCTGGTTTCCAGCTGTTCCTTGGGCTCGTGCTGCACAAACCCGATGCTCCCGCTGCAAGGCCTGCACGTTCTGCGTGGGAAACATCCTGTCTCTTCCCAGAATACCATGATGTTATTAGAGTAGCACCATATTTACCCTTCCAGCCCGTACCGCCGGCCTCATCCCACTTCCCTTCTGTTTTCTCCTCCGGTGGCTGCAGCCAACAGTCACTGGCTCTGGCCTGGCTACTTCTGCCCCAAGAGGCCAGATTCCAGCCGGGATGCTGTGCTCCGGCCCCAGCACCCTGTGGCAATGCTCATACTTCTTTGGCTGCGTTCCCTGTCCCTCTCCTTGTCGCTGTCGGACTGGCTCTGGGTGCGCTCAAGGCAGCAGGTGATTCCTCTTGCGCAGGAACTCAGTCTGGCTGGGCAGCCCGAAGCTGCCTTTCCGCAGCGCCATGCGCGTGGTGTTCTTGGCGGGGCGCGACCGGTGGTTGTACTCCAGCTGGGCCAGGTGGGCTGCGTACCCCTCCGTGATGAACTACGAGACAAAGGGGATGAGGGCAGGCGTTAGCGGGATGGGGTACGTTTCCCTGATAGCCACTGGCAGCCAAACACATTTGCTGTACCAGGTTCTCTGGGGTGATGTGCAAGACTTGGAGCCACTCAACGTGATGGGTCCTGGTCTGTGGGACAGCTCGCGTCCTCTTGGCAAATGCTAGCTCAGTCACCAATTCTAAGGTGACCAAATTCCCATCACTCTCCCACAGGAGGCCCTTGGCAGCACTTCCAGGGCTCAGACAAGCTGGCTCCTACCTGACACTGGCTCTGCAGCTTCTTGGTGGGTCGGCCGACGATGTAGATGTGCGTGGGCGGGAGGCTGATGGAGCTGTACACAGAGATGTCCTTAGTAGATCCATATGCCGCATGGATCCTCATGTGGAGCTGTGGGGAGAGAAAGCAACACATAGTCAGAACATAGGGGTGCCCCGTGCTGCTCAACAGGCAGGGCTATTTTTTTTTTTTTTTTTTAAATAGTGTTTGTGGGATTCTCAGGTCAGTAACTTATGTAAGTTCCCAGCTGGGTAACACACTGCTGTGCAAAGCGCTAATTAACAGAGCTGGGGATGTTCACAGGCCAGAACAAGAGGAGTAACTGCAATACAAAAGCAGATCTTGGCTTGCTGATCTATGGTCTTTCCTTGAGGGCTGCGGGGGGCAGAGATGCTGCATACTTCACTGCCTACTTGTCACTGGGGGAGAGGAGTGGTTTACACCACCACTCCCCCATACAGTAATCCTTAGAGGGGAGCATTCCCCTCTGCCAACCATGCTGCTGCATGCAATTCTGCTGTTTAACTCTGCTGGGCAGAGGGAGAAGGGACAGGCAGCAAAATACGCCGATTTTCAGGGATTCATCTGCCTCTACTTGGAGCAGAGAGCAGCTCCTGGCCAACCCCTTCCTTAGCAGGCTGAAGCTGGGGCTGGCAGGGGAGGTGTGGACACTGGTGCCACCAGACCGGCCGGCTTTGCTGCAGGCAGGCCAGGGAGGTGGAAAGGAAATCTCTGGCCCCAGTCACAGCTTGTTCTTCTGGAGGACAAGGGAGAGCAGGCAGCAACTAAGGGCCAGCTGCTCCCGCCACTGTGACTCGAGCTGAAATGAGAGTCCAAGAGAGTTAACGAGGGGCTTCCCTGCTGTTCAAGGCAGGGCACAAGTGCTCAGAACACTGGCAATTCCTTCACTTGCCAGACAGAAAATCTTGTTTTATCTGGAGCTTTTCTGAGGCTCTGGGCTGAGCAACATTAAGACTTCCCTGGGGTCGAATGCTTGGGAAGATGCTCTGTGGAGTCTCCCGTCCAGGCTGGGTGGTACAAGGCCATTTCTGCAGCAGCTCCATGTCCTCTCAGACCTGCTGGTCACACCACAGGCAGCCAGAAAGCCACCAAATGGGTGAAAAAAGTGCCCATGTGGGGAAGGGGAGGCACTGCTGCCTCTGTTTCATTAGGCATTTTGTGTTGGAAGGGCCAGTGATGAAATGGAGCAGTGCAGAGCAGAGATGACACAATTTAACAGCATAGACAGTTTTGTAGAGCAGTAAAAGGATGAAAATAAAATGAACAGATTAATCTTCTACTGCGGGTCACATCGCTGCCAAGAGACTGGTGCTGACAGGGGCAATTGGACGAGGAGCAATCTAAACCTGTGCTGTGATCGTGTTTCAGCAGACCCAGGCTTACGTCTGTGATGAGGGATTTCAGGAAGTTGGCCTTGTGCCGCAGCGGGTCGTGAACGAGCCCGTCGCAGAAGGAGACAATCCCGTGGGGGAAGTTGTGCTGTGCTAACCACGCTACCACCCTCTGCTTCTGCATGTCGGGGCGGCCCGTGACATAGATAATGAGGTAGCCGAGGTCTTGCCAGTGCCTAAGAAGGAAAGCCAGAAGTCAATGGATTGCAGACCTAGAGCAACGCCAGGGTAAAAGAGACTGACTGCCCCAGCCCCTGATGCTGACCTTACAACGTCGACCGCTCCGGCACGGACTTTGGGGTCGCTGCCCATGATGGATACGCTGGCTGCAAAGGAGCCGTCGATGCTGAACACCACAAACTCCGTCCCCTTTGGCAGGACTGTGATGTAGCTGTCTGCATATGTGTGGTCACCCCTGAAAGGGATGCAGGTATTTATATGCATCAAGATATAGAGGTTCTTTCAGGTAGTATCACTCAGTCCTGCCACACATCACAAGCCCAGAGCAGAACCCAAATCCAGCTCAAAGCCTCTAACAGCAATGCCACCCTCAGTTACAGCAGTGACAGGCACTGCACGAAGGCATCTGTGTTGAAGTGGGTCTGGAATTAGCACTCTGGAGCCCTGGTGTCAGTGACTTGAAAAGATATCCCCAGAAAACCATTGCTGGGTTCACCACTGGAAGGACAGTCCCTCTCCGCCCCCTTCCAGAGCTCAACACCAGCAACTTGAGCTGAGCTCAAGCCCCTGGGCTGTGAATTATCACAAGTACAAAGTTCTGTCCCTCAAGGACAAGTTTATGGTCTTTAAAATACACTCAGTTGTGCAGTTTTGCAGATGACTGCAAGGCCACATGTCTGTGGAGCAGAAGGTCTGCTCCTGCATCCTGCTGATGATGTAGGAGTCAGAATAAAACATGGATCTTCCTCTTACAGCTGTAGAGTACAAACGACTTTGGCCCTGTTGCTGGCAAACCAGTCTCTCAACCTACCCAACAAGGAGGGACCGTATTCTACAGTCATCAGATTCCGCTTTTTTTCCTCTTGCAAACTAAGCCCTGGCACCCCAAGGTACCTCACCTGACCACCATCTTGACAGGGTACACGCCAATGCCCAGGCGCCGCTTCTCAGGGATGACGTAAGAAATCCTGCCACTGCTGTTGCTGATCTCAGTGTCAAAGTAAACCCACTCTCCTGATGGTGGCTGGGTCATGATGTGAATGTCCACCTGGGAAGACAGCAAGGCTGGGTAAACAATGGCATTAAAGACACAGATGAGAACAGGCCAAGCACAGGGACCTTCCACCCAAGCTCCTCTGGACGGCAGCAGGGCTGGGTCCTGCCTCCACCCTCTGCACTTCACAGATCTCAGATGAGAAGCACCCAAATGTCAAAATGCTGGAATGAAACCCGGCCTTGGCGGTAAAGACCTCCATGATGAATGCTGTTGCTGGCAGCAGGCACCTACAAGTCTGAGCAGGGGAACCCAGCCAAGACGCAAAGGTAGCAAACCCCATCAGGGACCAAGGGAGCATCAACAAGCACTGCCTCTCTGTCCTTGTCCCCCACACTTTTCACCCCATGGTGAAACAGTACCTTTTCTCCTGTGAGTGTGACCATATCTAACGGACCGTACATAAAGCGTCCAGTTAAGGTCTGGGGCCCATCTTCATTAGCGATGGTGTCGTTTATCCTGTGGTTGGCTGTGACGTTCTGCACAAGTCAAGAGGGAAAGGGGGGGGGAAATTGAAAGGAAAAAAAAGAAAGAAATTTGCAGTGAAGGACAGCCTCACAGGGAAATGCCAAATATAAACAGACAAATTGGAGCACGGGTTTTTCTGTGCCATTCCCCCCTCCACTCCACCCACAGCTCTCAGCTTTGGAAAAGAATTTGACCTGTGGCAGAGGTGAGACTCCATGCCCCATGCTGATGGGGTGGATTTGAGTGCACATGGCTGAAAAGCCACTTTCAGTGGGAGTTTGTACATGCAATTCTGATACTGTCTATTAATTCTTACACTTTGGATTTAAAAGGCAATACAAACAGCTGCCAGAGAAATTTGCTGACGTTATTTCAGCTCTAGCAGAGAATTGCCCTCTTTCGGGAACTGGACACATTTCCTGGGAGTAAAGGGCATTTACCGAGCAGAGAACTTGCATTACTGGACTTAGAAAGACGTTCCA